TTTTGAGTATCCAAAAACTTAACTACTAATATGTACTGCCTTACCAATATCATAAACAGTCGATTAACACATATTTTGCATGTTATATGTATTATATACTGTATTCTCATAATAAAGTATGCTACAGAAAAGAGAATGTTATTAGGAAAATCATAAGGAAGAGAAAATATATTTACTATTAATTGAAAGTGAACTATCAGCCAGGCTCGGTGGCTCAGCCTGTAATCCCGTGCCTTTGGGAGGCTGAGGTGAGGGGATTGCCTGAGCCCGCGGGTTCGAGACCCGCCTGGGCAGGCGAGACTTCATCTCTACAATAAATCAAAAAATTAGCCGGGCGTGGTAGCGCGCGCCTGTAATTCTGGCTACTCGGAAAGCTGAGGAGGAAGGATTGCCGGAGCCCAGCAGGTCGATGCTGCGGTGGCCGGGAGCGGCCACTGCACTCCAGTCTGGGCGACAGAGTGAGACTCCAACTCAAAAAAAAAAAAAAAGAAAGAAAGAAAGTGAACTATCATAAAGTTTTTCATCCTCCTCGTCCTCACATTAAACGGGGGGAAGGAGGAGGGAGAGGGGAGAGTAGGCTTGGTCTTCCTGTCTCAGTGGTGCCAGAGGTGGCAGAAAATCCCCATAAAGATAGACCTGCACAGTTCAAACCTGTGTTGTTCAATGGTCAAATGTATATGGGGGGAGGCACAGAACATATAGGTGGCTTTGCAGTTTTTGAGGGACTCTGGCTTTTACTCCAAGCGACACAGGCAATCACTGTGAGTTCTGAGCCAATTTGTTTTGCGTGTATGTGTGCATGCGTGCACGCGCGCGCGTGTGTGTGTGTGTGTGTGTTTTTAAAAAAAGGTCCTCTGTTGACAGAAGATTGTAAGGAAGGGCAAGGGCAAAGAGGGGATCATAGTTTGGGCCAGTGTAGTGAGAAGTGATCAGATTCTGGATGTATTTTGAAGGCAGAGCCAACAGGATCTTCTAACAAATAGGTGTGTGAAGTATAAGGGAAAAAGAGGAGACACGGAAGACCAAGGCTTTTGGCACAAGCAAAAGAACAATAAATGTGCCATCAAGCAAGATGAGAGACTATGAAGTAACAGATTTAAGGGAAAGACCAGCTCAGTTTTGTCCTCAAAGAATTCGAGGTATCAGACACTTAAGGGGAGATGCTGGATAGGCAGCTAGATATGTGAGTCTAGGGTACAGGAATACAAGTTACAGCACAGATTTAATTTGGTGTTCTTATCTGACCTTGTGTTTTTTCAAGGAAACAATTGGGTCACAAATTGAAGAAGAATTTCACAGGGCAACTGATTCAATACAACAGCAGGACAAAAGCAGTGTATTAGGTACCGCTGTCCTACTCTCTAGATACACTGTAGTCTACCCAGCAGGAAAAGCAGTCTATGAGGAGTGCTGACATGATGTCCCTAAAAACATCCGGCATCAACTGCAGACAAGACACAACTGCACATTTAAATTCACACCTCTGCTTTTATAATCCTGACTCCCAAGTCCCAAATTCCATTGTTACTGATGTCAGGTCCTAACACTGCCATCTCCAATACCCTCTCCTCAGCACATAAGATAATGCCTTAGGTGAAACTTACACCTAAGTCATATTCAAATATTTACTCAATACCAATGATGCTTTAGTTTACTTGTGCTCTCATAACTGAAGCTTCCTCGTTTCTACTTTATCAGCTACAAAGCTGACCTGAGGCAGAAATTTTATTCCAATTTTAAATGGGAAAGTCTCCCATTTTATACTCAGTGTACATTTTATGCCTGGTGTACACACTTTGGAGATGCATTTAAACACTTAACATAAATAAGCCATAATATACCCTATCAAATGAAATCTAGGGACAATAAGACAAGCAGAAAATAATTTTCAATACATGCAGACTTGTTAATCTTACTGCTCCAGCATTTTTTTAAATTAATACAATACAATGTAAACAAGTTTTTAAAATGTTTTTAACATATTTCTGTGACGTTTACAAATCAGGATATGGCTACCCAACAGAGACATCTATAACCTCTTGTGTAATAGTTCAAAGACATATTGTGCAGTTAACACTCAAAAATATTTGCTAATAGGAAAGACAGAATTCACATTACCAAGAACCAAATACAGTCAACACTTGGTCCTAAGAATCTAAAAACTCTGAGGTGGGAACAGCAACTTAATGACAAAGAAACTGTTTTGTAAAAGATACAAGACTAAAACTCATATTGACCCTGCTGGTAGAAATTTTTATTCTACCTTTAAAATAAACTCACAGCTATTAAAACGCAAAGAGATACAAGGATGGCTAGTTAAAAGAAGTAAGAATATGTGGAAAGAAAAGGTAAGACCAAAAAGAAATAATAGCCACAAAGACAAACATGTTGATTGATCTAACTTATGTGTTTCAAAGAGAGAAAATACTTCACAGCAGGTATTCTTATCCTGGAATCCACTGATGAAGAAACAATGAACCTCTGATTGCTAAAGAATTCTATAGCCCCAAAAGAGGTTAAGAATTGCTGCAATTAAGTCTAGCTCATTTCCATCTGTAAACCTACATGTACTATAACAACATCTTGTAGAAAAAGTACGCATAGTACACTACTCTCTGCAAAAAAATTATGTTTAAAATGTTCCAAAATCTTCAAGTAATCAAAAGACAATCACATCTGACACAAAAGATCATATAATGTAAGATTCCATTTGAATGAATATCCAGAATAGGTAAATCCATAAAGCCAGAAAGCAGACTGGTGGTTATTAGGGGTTGGGGACAGGGGCAGTAACTGCTTGGGGATGGGGGCAGTAACTGCTTAATGGGCACACAGTTTCCTTTTGGAGTGATGAAACTGTTTTGTAACTAGACAGAAATAGTGGTTGCACAACACTGTGAATGCACTAAATGCCAATGAGTTGTTCACTTCCAAAATGGTGAATACCATGTGAATTTGATCTCAATAAAAAGCTAAGAATAAAAACCTTTTTGTATCTCCTGTATAAATTTTTTTAAAAGATAATCATAACATGTTGTCCCTCAATTTGGGGCAATCAGTGGGATAAAATGGATCAACACAGACAGAAGATGGTTCAGTTTATTTTCATTCCTAGTCCTCAGGATAAGAGAAAACTGGAACTAACAGTTGCTAAGTGCCTCCTATGTCTGGTTCAAAAGGGTTTACCCGCTAGAGTAGGTTTTTTTGCCAGGACAAAACTAAAATTAAAAACTTCGATTGGCCAGGTTCAGTGGCTCAGACTATAATCCCAACACTTTGGGAGGCCAAGGCGAGTGGATTGCCTAAGCCTGTGGGTTCAAGACCAGCCCGGGCAACTTGGCAAGACCCTGTCTCTACAATAAATCAAAAACATTAACCGGGTGTGGTAGCGTTACACCTACAGTTCTGGCTACTTGGAAGGCTGAGGCGGAAAGATCACCAGAGCCCAGCAGGTCGACGCTGGGGTGGCCATGAGTGTGTCACTGCACTCCAGCCTGAGCGACAGAGTGAGACTCCAACTCAAAAAAACAACTTTGATTCATTGAAATCTATTCTTAGGAACTGCAGGTTTATACAGCTGTATCTTCCAAGTCCTTGGAGCTATATCCAGAGGGATAAATAAATTAGTGCTGGGTGAAAAATACAGCTAAGCCATGTTTAAGGCTTAGCTAATGTTCCACACAAAGTTTAATTATTCAAAATTTCATTTACAAAACTGAATGTCAAAATAAGTACCCCAACCAAATAATTTAATAAAATTCAAACATCTAATCTCAGGGAAAAAAGAGAAAGACAGACAAGCCATTGCTTTTGTGAATCACATCACAAATAATTAACTCTCAGCCTGGCACAGTGGCTCATGTCTATAATCCCAGCATTCTGGAAGGCAAAGGCAGGAGGACTGCTTGAACCCAGTTCGAGACCAGTCTGGGCAATATAGCGAGACCCCATCTCCACAAAAAAAAAGAAAGAAAAAAATCAAAAAATTACCTGCGTGTTATGGTGTGTGCCTGTAATTCCAGCTACTTAGGAGGTTGAGATGGAAGCAGTGCCTGAGCCCGGGAGGTCAAAAGTGTGGTAAGCTGAGATCGTGCAACTGCATGCCAGCCAGGGCAACGGACCCCTCAACCCCCAAAAATGTTTTTTAATTTAAAAAATGTTTTAAATAATCAATTCACAAAGTCAATAACTGGAGAAAATCCTGCTCTTACGTATCTCTGTCCTTTAACAATTCTGGCCTGGGATCAATATTCAAAATGTCCGTAGGAAAACATCACAATACATACAAAGCATAATTTGAAGGATGCAATCCACTGGCTACATATATTCTGTTCCATAAAGTTTGCAAGTATTTGCTACATGACATTTAGGTTAAATTAACATCACTATTTTCAAGGTCAATATTATATTTGTTCAACTTCTTGGAGTCACACATTTTTGTGATATTTTTAACATCTGACTAAAGCTTCTGTCATCACAAGATGCTCACACTGTTTACAAACACTCAGAAACAGCAGCTGGTGTTCCTCAATCACATCTTGTTATGATAAACAGAGTAGCAGTTTTAAACTCCAGGTATATATATTTACTATTAATGTGCAAAAACTTTCTTAATTTTTTTCCCCTGAAATCAGACAGACATGTATACAATTAAACATGGACAATTTAGCACAAAGTTATGACAAGATCACAAATAAAGAGATGTGTATACATACAAAGTTGAGAGTACAGCTATCACACTGAATGAACTAAATGCTAAATAATATTGACCCTGCTTATGTTTTTTTAATGTCATTTTTATTTCTTTTTATTTGAGACAGGGTCTCACTATGTAGCCCAGGCAAGAGTGCACAGGCCAGTCCTGGCACACCACAGGCTCAATTCCTGGTCTTAAACAAATAGCTGGGACTACAGGTGTGCATCAGCCCACTGACTCCTTGCATATCATTTGTAATATCTTTTCCCATCCCATTTAAAAATGGCAGAAAACAGAAACTTACCCACACAAGCATTGAGGAATAGCCAATCAGTCTTTTTCATCCTATTTTTAATTTGCTTTAGTTTTTTGAAGTCCACTTCAAGTTCCTCCTTGCTGCCAACAGCACCAGCCAATTCAATCCTCTGAAAATCCATTTTCACTTCAGAGTCCCGTTTCATAGCAGGAGGCGATCTCCTTTGGCTATTACCACTACTGCAACTTCCCCTCCATCGAGCTCTGTCTTGCTCATTTATTATTGAAGAAGCCTCTTCAGTCTCTGCCAACTCTATTGCTTCAATGTTATTAGGTCTGGGATGATCACAAACAACACATTTTTTAGCCTTGGCCCAGTTTTCATATGTGCAAATAGAACAAGTCCAGTGCTGGGTCCTAGTGTTCAATTTATTCCTATCGTTGTATTCCTCACAAGGATCAACAGAAAAAGCAACTGGTCTTGAGCCAGATCCTGAGGATTGAGGAGATTCTGTAGGACTCCTGGTCCTACGCTGCGATAAGCACTGGGTACATCTGATTGCTCTTGGCCAGTTCAAATATGTACACATGTGGCATGACCATTTATTTGCATTTTCCATGCTATATGAAGACTTAACCCTTGGTCGTGCACTAGAGTCTGGACATATCAAAGGACTACTTCCTCCTTCAGTACTGGAAGGATCCCAATCTCTACCAACATCACTTGAACCACTTTTAAATGGATCTTCTGTGATAATTGTTCCACTAGGTCTTTGGGCACGACACATAGTACACTTGATTGCAGATGGCCAGTTTTCATACGTACAGTATTCACAAGCCCACTTAATTCCACGTTCTGACATCGTGCACTTCTTGAAAGTGAGTTATGCCAGGCAGAAAGCTATAAATAAATAACAGAATATGGTTATTAAAATAATAACTACAAAATTCCAACTCCAAAAATATGCCCCCCAAAATAAACATACCCTTCAACTTACAAAAATATAAATTTCTCAAAAGATGCAATGTAAGATTTCATATTGAATTATCCTAATTTTCTTTTGTAATGTCCACAAAAACACTAAAATAAATTCCCAAAGAAAAATCACAGACCTCAAGATTTAATAAAATTGTAATTTGGAATGCAAAGGAGATAGGCAAGAGACACAGGGAGGTTTGTTCTAAGAGAGAAAGAGATTAAAACAGGGAAGTCACTAATAGAAATGTTTAATTTCATTCTTGCCTTCACCATCCATTTAGAAAAGTAATCATTACAACACTCAAAAGTAAGAAAAACAATACAAACTAAATAATACCTTAAACACCTAACTATTCTCAAATTATGAACACAGACTGATTCACAGATCCAAAAGATCAAACATCAATTCTATCATTCTTGCTAAGCAAGAAAGCAGCGTAAAAGCACCAATTAATCACTGCACATACTTAGCACACCTAGAAACGATGGTGAATAATAATGCTTACAATCAACAAAGTAACAGTGTAAAATAGAAACAGTTCTTTGATATTCTGTATCCTCAAAATCTAGTTCTACTGGAGCACAAAAAGAAAACTATACATCACCTATACTTGAAAAAAAATCAAACTGACAGAGCACAACTACCAGCATAATCATTTCAATAGAACTGTGAATGTGCATACTCAAAAATTTAAAATTTTGAATATTTAAAATAGACACAAAATTAAATTCATATCAAAAATATATTTACTATTTTAAAGGTTTTGAGGATTCAATAGTGGGTTTATAACACTACACTATAATCCAGACTTTATTATTTAATGACAACTAATTCACAAATGAAGCATCTTACATAGCAAATTTCATTTTCTTTAATGGTTTGGATTTACACACTGACCACTAAAGCCAAACTCTCCATTTTCTTAAATATACTTCATCAACTCAATTAATCCCATCACCTGCTTTTAATGAGGGAAGAGGGGGAAAAAAATCCTACCCACAGTATAGAAGCTTTTCCCTCTTTCTAAGAGATTTCTTCCTGAACCTGGAAAGCTAAATCTTTCACTTGGAAAATACTGTATTATGTTCCTGCCTGCCAAGTCCATTCCATTTATAGTGTGAACTCTGCTCTGTTAAGACAAATTCATTATAAGAAAGGCTACTACTTAATGGCTAAAATAAAAATCACTTACTAAGATTTTAGTTTCTGTACTATAAACTCCACCTTGCACATGGTTAGAATAAAAGTATAGTTTATAAATCAGACCAAAGACAAGATTCAGTCTTCATGCTGGCTCATATTCTGACTTCCTCAGGAGATTCTGCAAAATGTGATAAGTGGATCTGTCTGAGAGTGAATAAGCTATTCCTGTAAAGAAGACCAAAACTGAATTTCACTTGAAACCTACTACTTTATCCAAAAGTTTTTTAAGGCTTTATTTTCATCAATTCTCTATTTTAACCCTATTTATTTATTTTAATAATGAACTACTATATTTGGAGTTTTAATTTAACACAACAAAAACATTAGCTAATTGGCCTAGTCAGTCAAATTAAACATGGGAATAAAGAGATTTCTCTTTATAACCTTAAACGTATGTTTGCATGTAAGCTAATATTATCATTAATATTATCTTGGCAGTGCTAAGTTAATTCCTACCTGTATTACTTGTATTACTGAAAGAGGAAAAGGTGATATGATCCAAGCATAAAAAGCAAAAAAAAAAAATTGCTTATATTTAACGATTAAACCACCTTCAGCAATCGCATTTTTTTCCTAACTCGAGTAATTTAAGTTTATCTTGCTTAAATTTAGCTTTCACATACTAATTACTTACAATCTGACAGCAATCCAAAAGTGTGTTGGAAGGCATGGAACTACAATCATATAAGAATTCATAAAGTGGACAATAAAGATTTCATAGCAATTTGCATATTCATTCTTCTTCCTTTAGTTTATCGGACTGAAACAAAAATAAATTACTTGCTCATGCTATTGGAAACTAAAATGAGCATGTAACAACTTACCACAACACAGGTGGGCGTGGTGGCTCATGCCTGTAAACCCAACACTGTTTGGGAGGCCAAGCAGGAGGATTGCTTGAGCCCAGGAGTTTGAGACCATGCTGGGCAACACAGGAAGACTTTATCACTACAAAAATAAATAAATAGATAAATAAGTCAGGCATGGCAGCATGTGCCTGTAGCCCCATGACTTGGGAGGCTGAGACAGAAGGATCGCTGGAGTCCAGGAGGTCGAGGTTGTGGTGAGCTGGGATTATAACACTGCACTCCAGCCTGGACAGCAGGATAAGACTCTGACAGGCAAGGAAAGAAAGGGAAGGGGGGACTTATAAGAACAAATGCCACAATGAACATATTGGGGGGGCAAAAACACCCAGAATTTATTTAAAATTGTGTATTTATTCTGTTTTTTGGGGGGGAGGGGTTGGAGTCTCACTCTGTCGCCCAGACTGGAGTGCAGTGGCACGTTCCTGGCCACCGCAGCCTCAACCTGCTGGGCTCTAGTGATCATTCCGCCTCAGCCTTCCGAGGAGCCGATACTACAGGCGCACGCTACCACGCCCGGCTAATTTTTTATTTATTGTAGAGATGAGGTCTCGCCAAGTTGCAGGGTGGGTCTCAAACTCTCGGGCTCAGGTAATCCACTTGCCTCAGCCTCCCAAAGTACTGGGATTACAGACTGAGCCACTGAGCCCGGGCCGTGCATTTATTCTTACATGTTTAAACTTCAGTCACCTTCAAAGTACTCTCAATTTGATACAATGATCGAGATGATTTTTCTATTGCTCCAGTTTATGAACTCACCAATTTTGATGACTTTTAGTGCTAGCCCTTTGTTTCACCTCTTCTACATTGGCAAAACAGATCCTTTGAGGACAAGAAAAAGTCACTCAGGGCAAGAGAAGATGGAGGGTGAAACATTAGGTTATGCTGCTTTTGGTCAAAAACTGCTCAATGCTCAGCCCAGTGTGGGCAGGTGCTTTGTCATGGTGGCAGAGCCAGTTACCTACTGTCACAACTCGGGATGTTTCTTCCACAAATCATGATGTAATCTTCTCAAAACTTCCAGATAAAAACTTTGGCTGTCTGTTTGATCCAAAGAAACAAATTCCAAGTGGCAGCCCTCCCTCCAAAAAACAATTCTGGTTCTTTTGGAGTGGTCCCCCTTGTATATCCAGGGTCACTGTAAGTAATGTCAATATTTTACCTAATATTCACATTTAAAAATCCATGTTTGCTGTGATAAAGTATTACTAGTTTACAGGCTCAACTAAACAGTCTGGATCTTATATCTTAGCTAATCTCCATGGAGCTAATGTACCAGCATACTATATTTAAAAGTCCGGGTTGACAAAAAAAATTGCCATTAAAAATAATCACTGTCGGCCAGGCACAGTGGCTCATGCCTATAATCCCAACACTTTGGGAGGCAGAGGCAAGAGGATTGCCTGAGCCCAGGAATTCAAGGCCAGCCCAGGCAACGTGAAAAGACCTCGTCTCTGCAATAAAATAAAAAATTAGCCAGGCTTGATGGTGCACACCTGTAGTCCCAATTACTTGGAAAGATGAGGTGGAAGGCTCTCCTGGGCACAGCAGGTTGAGGCTGCAGTAACCATGATCATGCCACTACACTCCAGCCTGGCCAACAGAGTGAGACTCCAATCAAAAAAATAAAGCGAAAATAAGAAGATCACTGTCATATATGCCTGGTAAAATAATGGACTGATAGATACAGATAGATAGTTGCTGGATATAGGCTAATCACAGCCTACCCCTTTCAAAAATCTGTGTGAGCAATACCAAAACCAAACTCAGAGGGTTCAAGAGAAGGGCATTATATTAAATAATTATGTACAGTATCCACTCTTTAAGGAATTAAAAGTTTCTAGGAATGTTTAGTAACTAAAACCTAAAATGTATCAAAGAGGATTGATTATGAGTCACTTGTACCTGTGGTAATCAGTAAAGAGTAAGGATAACATCAGCACAACTATATGATTTTGCAGTATTGAGAAGAAATTAATGAGTGTACTTTTTTATCCAGATGTCAAAACATCCCAAAAAGGTACACAGAAGTAGTTCCCAAATAACCAGCTCTAAAAGTTAATACTACACTCTGAAACAAAACTGTTGCTAAATACCATTTTAAGTTAATATGTATTTATATATCCAAGTAAATTTAATTAACAAATCTAATTGTGCATGCAACACAGACCTGCAAATTCTATCCAAGCAATCATATTTCAATTAGTACAATAAAACCACAATAAGCCAGGTGTGGTAGCACAGACCTATAATCCCAGCACTCTGGGAGGCAGAGACGAGAGGACTGCCTGAGCCCAGGAGTTCAAGACCAACTTGGGCAACATGGGAAGACCTTGTCTCTACAATAAAACAAAAAATTAGCCAAGCGTGGTAGCACACACTTGGAAGGCTGAGGCGGAGGATCACCTGAGGCCAGCAGGTTGAGGCTGCAGTAGCCGTGATCGTGTGTGTCACCGCACTCCAGTCTGGGCAAAAGAGTGAGACTCTGACTCAAAAAAAAAAAAAAAAAAATCTATATACTCTGGATCTTCTTTAAGGAAAACTGGACACAACTACTACTCTTAAAACAAATATTTCTTGGTTCAAATGTAATACCAATAGTTCTCATACTGTGGATGAAGGAATCCAGGAATCCATGTGTGCATCAAGCTCTACCTATAGGGTGAATAATGTCTGCAAATATAGCAACAATTTTTCAGTACTAAATTCATAATTGCCTTTAATTATATACCTCCCATTTCAAATAATAAATGAGCACAAGTATAATGGTGTATGTATTAATAGTGAGGGGAGAAAAGGGGCCAGTAACTCAACATTTTTTATACTGTCATGTTTGTGAAGCATTATTTAACGTCATGTAAGAATCTATACTCAAGTCAATGCCTCAAAATTGGGACTATATTAAAAATTTCCCCAATCACCTATCAAAAAAACATATGAGAAAACTAGAAGTGAAATAATTCTTATCCAGTGCAAACTCCTCAAGAAACAAACCATAAGCTCAGATGCCAGTAGTTTCAAATGATAAGAAGTTATGCCAAGGACACACTAATAGAGTTTTAAAGGGTTTTTATTAGCTGTATTTATACAAATGCTTATTAATATAAATATTTATTAGCTTACTAATATAAATTTGTGGGTATTTACAAATGCTTTGAGAGCATCTTAGGGGAATACAGATGAAAGC